AGTGTTAAATAATCTCGAACACCTCATAATGGAAGAATTTATTTTTGCAGTTTGATGAGGCCGATCTTCACAAAGTTATGAAAGAAAATATCGAATTGGCCAAATATAAAGTCCCAACGCCTGTTCAAGTAAAGTATTTTTATTTTATTTTATTAATTATGCTGAATATAAATTTTATTTCGAATTCATTTTGCTATCGTATTTTAGAAATATTCAATTCCGATTATCACAAGTAAACATGATCTTATGGCATGCGCCCAAACAGGTGAATGATTGTTTTTAAATATCGGGCATCATCTGTACGCATATATCTGATCTTTGATCTTTTCCTTGATAGGATCGGGGAAGACGGCAGCTTTTCTTATACCAGTATTGTCACAACTTTTTGGGAGGAAGAATCTTGCAGCACCTCGGCCACAACCTGGTGTACGTAAAATGAAAGCTGAGCCCCTAGTCTTAATACTTGCACCTTCTCGTGAGTTGGCGACCCAAATTTTTGACGAATGTCGCAAATTTACTTATAGAAGCATGATGAGGCCATGGTAGGTGTACAAAAAAAACTCATTACATTTTCTTTACGGCTTATATCATTTAACATTATGGTTTTGACGCAATTTAGCGTGGTGTATGGTGGTGCAGACCCAGCTCCGCAGAGAGACCAATTAGCGAGAGGATGCGATGTGCTTACTGCGACACCGGGTCGATTAAGGGATTTCTTAGATAGAGGTTTAATTAGTCTTCGCAGGGTCAAGTACGTTTATTTTTATATGAAAATAGATAATAATAATAATAAATAATATGTTGATTAGTATCTTATTATTTCTTCCTGAAATATTTTGTAGGTTTCTTGTGCTTGATGAAGCTGATAGAATGCTGGAAATGGGTTTCGAAGATGAAGTTAGATCAATTGTGCAGAAGTCGGGTAGCTTTTATAAAAAAAAAAATTCATTCATTCATTCATTCATTCATCACATTTTAATTTTTCTCATATATAATTATTATTTAATAGATCTTATTGATGATGGCACTAGACAGACTTTAATGTTTTCAGCTACTTTTCCGAGGAGAATTCAGGATCTTGCTCGAGATTTTCTGGCAAAAGGATACATTTTTCTCACGGTTGGCCGTGTCGGTGGCACTACGAGTGATATCACGCAAAAGGTAATAATGCTATTGTAATTATCGTAGATATCATTGGTTAATCAAAAATATATGCATTATTGTATGATTAATAGATTTTATACGTTGAAGAAGAGAAAAAACGTAACCAGCTTGTTGAGATGCTTTTAAAACAGCCTCCATCTCGTACTTTGATTTTCGTTAAATCGAAACGTGGTGCAGACTCTCTTGATGAATACCTTTATAAACAAGGTTTTCCAACTACCAGTATTCATGGAGATCGTACCCAACGCGAAAGAGAAGATGCGCTAATATCTTTTAAGTAAATAGCTATAGATTTGTGTGCAGAAGTATATGGGTTCTTTTTACATTATATTAATTAATTAAACGAAATTCTAGGAATGGTCGAGCTCCAATTCTGATTGCTACATCAGTAGCAGCGCGTGGTTTAGATATTAAAAATGTGATGCACGTTATTAATTATGATCTATGCGATCAAATAGACGAATATGTTCATCGGATTGGCAGGTTGATTGGATTTATCAAGTTTTCTTGTGCATTTCATTGACGGTTATTAATTAATATTTTTATTAGAACCGCTCGTGTGGGAAATAAGGGTTTGGCGACTAGTTTTTATAATGAGAATAATGCAGACATTGCGTGCGAATTGGTGAGAATACTTATGGAATGTAATCAAGAAGTTCCTGATTTTTTACAATCATATATGGGAGACATGTAAGCAGTTGATAATTTCGAAAAATTGTATTGTTACTTCGAAACTTAACTTTTTTTTATACCTCAAAGGATAAATGATGATTATACTGGGGCTGGCGCAAGTAATGTTTACGGAAGATCTAACACGTGGGATGACAGTAACAATAATCACAGAAATAATCAAAACCGGGATGCATTATCTCCGAGAAGATTTCAGCCGGTATTAGATGCTTTCCTTTTTACCTTTCTTTTAACGATAATAATCATATTTTTCACTCACCATCATTCCATACATTAATCGAAACAGCCAAATTCCTATGCACAGGGTCCACCGATAAACAGTCCACAATTTACATCACAATCTGAACGTGGCTTCCCGGTGGTCAATCTGCCGAAGGCAAATAATCAATATCATTCAGAAATATCACATGGATATAGTTCACCTCACATGAATCAAAATTTTAATTCTGGTGGTTATCGCCAACCCTATCCTAATAATAATTTTGAATCAAAAAACTTCTATAAAAATAATAATAATGCAAATTTTGGAGACGATGGCAGCAGGTTTGAGTTTAATGAATTTTCATGACTATTATACCTCCCAATTATCTGTTCTAAACCTTTAACATAAAAAGGAATCGGCCATTACCTGGGAACAATTGGGAGTCACCTGTTCAACAGGAAGCACAAAAGCCATGGGACCCAACTGCGGTACCGTGGAAATGATGGTAACCATTTTCTAATATGTTTGCATTTATCAACATTAGAATTATGAGCATATGTATGTATAGGAGCTACCTGAATTGGACAATCGTTTTTAAATTTCGTGTATGTCTTATTTTATTTTTTACACTCCATTCATTCATTTTACTTGCTTTATTTGCTTTCCTTTTTATTTGTACTATTATTTAAGCAATGTTTATCATATGCACAAAGGTAAATTATATAGAAAAGAAATCAAGCAATATACATAAAACAACATGTGCTATGATTATATATCGAAAATCTTATTGGTAGTTATATGTTGTCATGTGTATAACATCGAATTTTTCTGCGGCTTTCACGTCTCCTGAAAAAAAAAATGTCTGAATATAATTTCCAGACTTTGAAAATAACTCTGCCTACAGAATTTGTGATTCACGTAGAATTGAATAGACCCCAAAAGCTAAACGCATTTAACCAAACGTAAGATTAGCCAAGACGTTGTAACAAACAGTTAATAAAACCGATGATGTTTAAGCATCTATTTCTTTTAGTTTGTGGAAGGAGTTGGGAGAATGTTTTGCGAGGATCGGAGCAGATCCCGCGATCAGGGCTGTCGTGATTTCGGGAGCAGGGAAACTTTTCACCGCCGGAATTGACTGTAAACTTGATCTTTAAAATTATCAATTCTGTATGCGTCTTAATGATTGATATTCTAATTAAAACTCTAATCAAGGTAGTCGCGTATTTAGAAGGGGTTGTTAAAGTGAATGAAGACGACATTGCTCGGAAGCTGGTTCATGTGCGTCGCTGGCTTAAAGTAAGAAATTTTCGTGAGTTCATAAGGCACAACCTTCAATTACGCGATTGCGTATCCTTATTTATCTGTTATTTTCGTTCTTCAACTAGTTGTGTCAAGACTCAATATCCATAATAGAAACTTGTGATAAGCCTGTTATAGCCGCGATCCATAATGGTTGCATAGGTGCCGGAATTAATCTAGTTACAGCTTGTGATATTAGATATTGCTCGCAGGATGCATATTTCAGTGTCAAGGTACTATCTAATCAATCACTTGTATCACGAGTCTATTTGACTGACCTTTAGTTGATGATAGGAGGTTGATATTGGATTGGCAGCCGACGTGGGTAAGCAGCTAAATATTAACAAACCTATTTTTTATTTGGAAAGCACTAATTAAAGGATATGTAATCAGGGGTATTGCAACGTTTACCAAAAATTGTGGGTAATGACAGCCTCGTCAGAGAATTATGCCTCACGGGTCGCAAGTAAGTAGAACTTTTTGACTCTAATTTCATTATATTCTATTCACTTTATTATATTATTGTAGTTGTTTCGCCACCGAAGCTTTTAATTTTGGCTTGGTTAACAAAGTTCTACAAACTAAAGAGGAAGCTTTGGGTAATTAAGCGATTTCAATTAGTAAAACGTATTTAATCACCTTGTGTTCATGTTCATTGCCGATACTATAATTGTAGCGGAGGCCATTAAAACGGCAGAGATTATTGCATCTAAATCACCAGTAGCAACTCTCGGAACAAAGTAAGCAAGTATATCAACGTATTTCTTATTTTTGCGGGTCTTTGTTGAATCTTATTTTGAATGTTCCTATTTATATCAGACACCTTTTAAACTATTCTCGTGACCATTCCGTTCGAGAAGGGCTCGAATACACTTTAGCATGGAATGGGGCAATGCTCAATAGCGAGGTTGGTAGAAGAAAGTCTTATGATATTAAGTTCACTTTTTTATAGATATTCATTTTTCATTCCTATTCAGGATGTAATTAAAGCTTATAGTGCTGCCAAGAAAAAGGTGAAACCAACTTTTTCGAAATTGTGAACATTTTGAAATACGGTTTCCTATATTATTTTTTTGGTGGGTTAGTAAAATTCCATAAATGATACGTATTTATTATGAAGAAATCCTGCATACATCAAAATATAACTCTGAGTTCGCGTTAGTAAACCAATAACAAAATATAATAAAGCCCTCAGAGTTACTCATATGAATCTGTACTTATTATTGTTATTTGCTACATCGATTTCGCAAGTTCTTAATTGAACTGGTTAATTTAATTTTTTAAACGATGCAATCAGTCTCTAAACAACGCAAATTGTAATATGAGAAAGTTATTTATAGTAAAGTCATCAAATCTGTCTATGAAAATAATATCTAGACACTATTTTAAAGAATTATTTTTTTAATGCAAGAATTTATCACTGTACCCAATTAATTATTCATCATTTCATGCATTTATAAAATAAATTGAAAACCGTTAGATTGAATGGAAGCGTTCTCATTTCCCCCTTTTTTTTTTTTTTGAAAAAAACAAAGATAATTAAAGAAACAGGGAGTTTTTTTATATATACTTAATAATGTACCTAATTTCGTTTAATGGGATTTACCAAATTTACAATATCACATAATAATGTTATATTAGCTTAAATTCCGAACAATAAATCATGTGGATTTCCTACATCGCCATCATCGCCATCTGGACTTATGTTGTGAACTCGTTGTCCAATATTGTTCCCATCACGAACATTATCGTTCTCACCTTCACCACCCTCAGAAATATCACCACCAGCACCTTCAGCTTCAGATACCACTAACTCATCAATGTCAGCGCCAGCCGTTATTGACGATTGCACAATTTGATCGCGACGACTCTGACCAATAATCAAGTTGTTGAGATAGTTCCGCAATTCTTTGACACCTTTACCGCTGAAAACGCAAAAAACTTGTCTTTGATGTGGAGTGAATTCCTTTGGCGGCTGCCTGCAATGACGCTGCACATCCGGCCTGAGAAATGCTGGAACCCCGGTGAGAGATAGATGTGTCAAACGATAGCAATAATTGACAAGATCTAATACTGCCGCGATGGTGAGGTTGACACAGTATGACAGGTGAACACGTTCAAGTGTTTGAGATACTACACGGTTTTCGATCAGCGCGTAAATGGCTTGATCTGTGATGAGAGCACATTTTACCAAACCAATACGACGCAATTTCTTTAGATGTTGAGAAAGCTCGAAAACTGATGAATCTGTGAGCTGGGTACAGCATGCCAAGTCGAGATACCTCAAACGGTCACAATGACGAGCTAGAAGGGTTATTGAGTGATCGGTGATTCGCGAACAGTGGCCTAGGTGAAGATAATGCAAGTGCCGACCCAACTTTGTAATGTTATAAACCCCTTCGTCTGTAATATTTCCACATTTGGCTAATACAAGGTTGCGTAATTTCGGTGCGCTGTGAACAATCTTATTAATTGTCTGATCGGTGATAAGAGCGCATGATGTAAGATCAAGGACGCGTAGTTGTTCGAACAGAGACGGCATCGTTTTTGTAAATGAATCATCTGTAAGATGAGTGCAACATGCAAGCCGAAGTTCACGTAATTGCGTACAATTTTCAAAAACCGGCTGAATTGCTTTATTGGTTATTTGGTGACAGTTGGTGAGATCGAGTTCAAGCAAATGTGGACAATTCTTAGCCAATACTATCACAGATTCGTCTGTAATATTTTCACAGCTACTCAACTTGATCTAAATAGAATGGCATGTGCATTAAAAAAAAAGAATACAAAAATACAAATGTTAATATCAAATCTATGATCGTGATGTTCAAAAAAAGGCCAAAACCTAGAAATCGAAATATGTTCGATTATCTAAAGAAATGGCTTGACAGATAAATCATTAATAATATAATCGATTCGTGTCAAATAACCTTAAGTCATTCGGTTACCTACCCTTCTCAAACCTCTACATCTTGAAGCTACGGTCATAATTCCTTTGTCAGTGACTTTTTTGCACAGGCTCACATTCAATCCTTGTAAACGTCTACATCGTTCACCCACCAATTCTACTACTGCATCTGTCAGATTCTCAATGTCCGACACATCCAAAGCCACTAACCCGTCTACTTTTTCCAATAATCCCAAAATACCCGAGTCTGTCAGCCTTCTGCATCCTGCCAGGGTAAGTCTCTCCAATCTCTCGCAGGAACTTAGTCGGGCGAGCATTTGGTCGCTTACGTTTTCTCCCAGAAGAGAAAAGTTGAGACGACGGATGAGAAGAGAGTACTGGAAGGTCTGGGTGGGTCGCGATAGTGTCCATAAGAGTT